TCAGTTTTTTCTGTAGTTATTGTTATACATTGAATATAATATAAGGTATACATAAAATATCTCACTCAGTTAAGGGTCTGCAATTTACTCAATGATAGAAAGGGTTGTTGGTTCTAGATTTTGTGTTACTTTAGATTGTTAATGTGGTAGAGTGTAAACCTTCCAGAGGGTTTGTTTAGGTCCATATTTGTGTCAGTGGTGTGACTGTGTCCATGTCTGTCTGGCTGATTTCTCATGAACAGCTTGAGGCGTGTGTGTAGCTGCAAAAGTGGAAGTGTTGCATTATGAATGGGGAAAGCAGACACTGTGCAAACACAGCACACACACACACGTGTAATACGATTCTGGGGAATGGAAACCAAATACATTCAACGTGGCCAATGTTAGGGTTACAAATGCTATCTTACTGGAACCTGTGAGTCACTCTGTCCTCCAATGCGGTCCGTATATCAGTTTTCTGTCAGAAAAGGAGAATTGAGTTCAGTTTGATTTAACCCTGGAATGCTGTAGTTTTAAATGTATACAGCATGATACACTATCGTAACATTTTTCTAATCCGCAGGAGGTAAAATTAATATTCATGATGTCACGAGTCAACATAATTATACACATAATTACTCACCATAACAACGAAAATCAATAAATCTAACTAAAATGAAGGTGCTGCATATTACATCAGTTTCTCAAAGTCATGCTCAGTGTGATGTTGTGCCACATTCCTGAAGAATGATGCCTCTATTTACTCATTTGCATAAGATGCACACAGTGCATTTTAGCCATACCTTAATTTGCATATTGCTGAGCAGCGTCCCGCTGTTCAACAGCTGGTTGTACTGCCAGCCCCAGCCTACCTCCCCAACGCAGCTCTGCCTGGGCATAGGAGGGGGGGCATGTGGTGCAGCTCGACACAAGTAACTGAGGTCACCCGTGGCCTCAGGTGATGAGGTGCCCACACCGATGTACCGGGGGAAATAATTTGATCTTGGTCTGTAGTCTCCAATTCCATCTGGGCCTTGTTAGAACCAGTGGAAAGAAAATATTTTTTTAAACCAACCAGAGGAACCTGAATCTTTTACTTACAACTGAGACTCTAAAGACATGTATGGAGAGGTTAATAAAAAGAGAGAAAGAGTGTGCAGCATACATTAAAGAAATCTCTGTACAGTGCCAGTAGCAGCTACTGAGGTGAGTCCAACAGAACTAATGACAATGAGACGTTCAAGATGGAAGAGAAAAGAGAAATAGATTGTTTATAGAAAGGGTGCATTCATTCAGTGTTTATCTTCAGGGCATTTCTTACAACTAATTATCTTTGAAGAGGAATTGGAGCAAAGGATCAGTGTTTTTCAGAACATGGATTCTCTTTGATGTTCCTTTTTTTTATTTAAATGTTTATTCAGAGTAATAACAGTTACATAAAGGAAGCATAAATTATTCATCCTTAGAAAATAATGTGTGATATAATAATAGAATACAGAGTGATAGACAATAACACAAAGCAATATGTTTGCACATCCCGCTGTGTGTTGTCTAACACATCCGTTATTGCAGTGAAAGCAAACATCTATGTGGACATGCCCTAATGCACACACAGACACATACAGCCCAATTACACAGACCCACATACATACACACACATACAGTATTACTTTTGGCCCTGGTTACAGTGCCATCATGTGTCCAATTACAGTTCTATTTGCTTGGACACAGAACATATGCTTATATAATTGTTAAACAATGCTCTGGGGGTCTGTCGCATAATCTCACAGGAAACTGGGTTATAGCAGTCTGACAATACATACTTTCCCACCAATTAGCTATTTTGGGAGTGATAACAATAGAAACATTGCTTCAATTCAAATTCCAAACTTTTAACTTCACATTCTACCTCCTAGAATGACACACGGTGTCGATACAATAGATGTACATTGTCTGTATGCTTTTCCTACCTGTAAAAATCATCCTTTGTCCATGCTGTGACCCTGAGGCAACTGCTCCGCCTTTTTGCATCATTTTTTTCCCTCCAGTGTGATGTTTGGATTAGTTGCAGGATAGATACACCAATTTAATGGGTGCCCCTGGGTGATAACTAGAGCCTGGCGGTCTGCTCTGTCCATGGGGTCATGGTCGGTTGTCATGCAACCACTGGTTGTCATGGAGTCAGTGGTTGTGTCCTAGTTAAGTTGTAAAAACAAAGGCTGCTTCTTATACTGAAGCATGTCCACTACATATTACTCTATTCTAAATTCATCCCAGATCTCTTACTGAAATAATCTACATGAAGGTGCAGGGGTAACACTGGAGTGTTTTTTTAACGTGTTATATACAGAGTAACAACTTCAACAGCACAGCATTTATATTGTCATTTAATTTTGTATATTGTACTGATTATTCATACCTATATACGTATATTAAATACAGGATATAGGTTATAGAGTTGAATTACTGGACTTCACTTAATGTCTTGTTTCTTTTTTTATTTATCTTGCATTTTTACGCCCTGTGCAGACACTGAGTGTATGAGTCAGCTTGTGCAGAAAAAGCTAATTATTCAATCTGAAGGTTGCTTATGAATGAAATGCCTCTTTAAAGCCGACTGTCACAATGTAGCGTTCCTATTGGGAACTTTGTGTGTCTGTGGCACATAATAATGAATTTACCTTTACTCTGCAATTCTCTTTTATTCTCCATAATCTGACAATGTTGCTACGAGACATGCATATTTTGTTATTTTTATTTCTTCCTATCCGGATCAAATGTTTAATGATAATGGTGAAATGTAACAAAGTAAATTTAATCAAGTACGGTACTTAAGTGCAATTTCAACTACATTTTGGAAATCAACATTTTGTTTTCTTACACCAGTCCATTTATTTGACATTAACTACTAGTTAATGTCAAATAAATACTTTTTTAGATTCAGATTATTAATCAAGTTTTTATTATTGATTAAGTTACCCTTTAGTATATAAAGTAGTGGAAATGAAGTCCACTTTTACCAGCTGCAACATTAGTAATGTAATATTATTATATATGTATCACTGAAATGGGCCATTCTGCATAATGAATCATTTTACTTTTGGTACTTTAAATAGGCTACATTTTGATAGCAATACTTGTTCATTCACTCAGATAACTTTTTTAATGCAGGATTTGTATTATTCAGTAACTGTAGGCACTGCTACCTTTACTAAAGTAAAAGCCTGAGTAGCTCTTTCACCACTGATAGGGCAGGATAACTAAGATTTTGTAACACCGTTGATGAAATGGTGCATCTTTGGAGCCACCTAAATGTGTATTACCATTTTCAGACACTAGGTGGCCCCAAAGCACCACTCTGCCACATTGCACTCCCCCCTCCTTATTCCCAATTTTTCTCTTTTTTTCTTTTTTTTTTGTTCAATGGACTCGCCCATGAGCCGCCCCTTGTGACTACAGCTCCGTCAAGTCAAACACAGTTAGCAACAGTCAGACAGAAAATGCAATGATTTAACCTTCAAAATAAGATCGTACCTTTGACAATACCAAGCAAGCGTAATTGTAAGCAACAATAATACAAACCAAGCGCTACAATCACTAAATAAGAAACACTCCGCGGATTAAATATAGGAATAAACTAAAAACAGATACTAAATGATTATGTTACGTCATAGTGCTTGGTCTAATATAAATATCCAACGTTTTGCGTACGCTACTTCTACTGAAAAGACCCCTGACATATTGCATATAGGTCTTTATTGATAGCGTGCAGATGAAATGACATTTTTGGGGGGCAAAAAAAAAAAAAAAACATGTATATTTCACGTACTGCAGACTCCTCCCTAAAAACACTGTTCCCTTCATTGTCTCTTTGTATTAACGTCAAACACGTTGCTCCTTTTGGAGGTTTATTTTGAAAAGCTTTGGAGCAGTGTGAGCGCTAACTCCTGCTGACTTTACTGCGCTGTGTCAGTCACCATGGTGGCATACAACAGAGCACAGCGGCGGCGGACCTATCTTCACTTTTAGACCCAGTAAAAATGTTAATACAATGAATATTCTCAGTGAGTGTCCTCGGCTCTCCCTCTCACAATGGACGCCGGGTTGTTGTTGACGGGGTAAGCGTTAGTCGTTAGCTCACTTTTTTTGTTTGGTGGCTCCTACATGGGTTTTCTTTCCGTCGCTAGCAGAATGCTGAAGAGACAAGGAATGGCTTTGATGAACGCTGCCTTGAATAAAGGGACATTTTTCACATTAAGAAAATAACTCCAAGAGACAGTTCGAGCCGCGCTTTTAAAGGGAGTTTCCTCCCGGTGGGACTGGTGTTGGCAGCCGGTTTCGGCTCGGTGCAACAGAGAGACAGACACCCCGAGGAGACTGCTCGGCTGTGTGGCTCCAGTTGTGGCCTGGCTCCGGGGCACTCCCAGCTTATCCGCTAGCATCGGAGCACAGGCGACAAGAATAAAGCAAGACAGCAAGGGGACTTCTCTTGTTTATATCCGTGGCGCTGGGCATCTGGAAACCTCGTATTAGGATAAGAAATTGAATATCCTCCAGACGGCGTCTTCCAAAACAATGGCGTCTTATGTGGATAACAGCTTTCGGCAGGCTGTGATGATGAATCCGGCTGAAAGGACGCAACAGGTCAGAGGAAACCATTTACTATATGTGACTACTGCTGCTAACCTGTCTGTAAAAGTGGCGTTTTGTGTGTGTTTGACACTCAGTTGTTACATTATAACATTGCAACAGAGCAGTGTGTGTGTGTGTGTGTGTGCGCAACTGTTGCCATTCAGCCTGTTCCCGTGTTACGTATGGCTACATCCCGCTAAGCCCTCTATCAGCAGAGATAATCAAGGCTACTTAACATAACAGGAGCTGTAGCCTCGGTGGGAATCTAACCTTAAGTAGTCAGTTTGTGCCTTTTTGTTTTTTGTTTTTTTTTGCATTTTGAGACTTTTATTTTTGCATTTTCGTCGTCTCGGGCAAAACCGACTTTTTGCGTTTAGCGTAAAGTAACATTAAAGGGTAAAAGGATGAGTGTCGCAGAGGTACAAGCTGTGGCTAATCCTGACCTAGCCGATAGCCTTTAAGTAGCCTTTCAAAACAGACGTTGCTCCTTATCATGTTTTACTTGTTTGTTAGGTCACTGTTCGCAGACTGAGGCACACTTTTAAGATGAATGATTCTTAGTTAGTCCAGTTATCGATGTGCTTTTGTAGTTTCCCCCTTTTATTGCCACTTAGGGCTTTATTTGACATTTATCAGTGACCTAATAATGTTTTGTCATTCCTTTCTTTGTGACCAAGTTTTTATTGGATGAGTTGTTCTCTGGGGACATTTCACGTCCTACAGTTAGACAGAATAAGAGGGGGGAATGAATAAATAATGCTTTGTTGTTAGTTGTTTTTGAAGCCGGGCGCTCTCCCTGCACATGATCCCCCCAGTATCATCCCATCCACACCAGTACTGTGGCTTCCTCTGGGGACTTTGGAGTACCAGTTGTGTAGCCTTTGAACATGCAAATCCTGTGGGCTGTGGTCATTAAGATTGAGCCCCCCACACACACACACACACAAGCTTGCCTATCCTCCGATATTAGCAGTTGTGCTTTGCAGATAAAGCGGGGTTGGCTGTGAAGATGGTATCATTTGATTGGAGCAGCGCTTTGACTGCGCGTGGATGCTGCTTCAGCAAAGGCTTTGCACACAATGGACAATCAATAGGCCACCACTTAAACCGGTGGGCTACACTGAGTGGCACAGCCGTCTGCCCGTCTATCTGACATTGAGGAAACAATTACGGCGTCATTGACGGCTTGAGCCGCACTAGGCCCACAGTCTTTACAGCTTTATGCAGGCTGTAATTTGGAGGAGTGACAGATGCCATTGTGGTTATGGAAACAAAGACGGACTGTGGTTGGCATCAGTAGCAGCAATGTTCATCTAAGACGAGACTGAACATTAGTCATTTCTGTTTGGGCTAAAGCTAATAACTATTTCTGTTATTGATTAATGTGAGGGTTGTTTTCAGGAGTTTTGTCCATGAAATGAAAAGAAATCTCAATCTCAACTCATTGAGCCCATAGTGACTGAATGATTTTCAAATTACGTGTTCAGTCCAGTCGTTGGTCTAAAACACATTCAACCATAGAAGTTTTTCAAACACCACAAATCCTCAAATTGGAGAGGCTCAGACTAGGTAGTGTTTATTGTAAGAAAAGACAGAAATGATCGACCTTATCTATGAAAACTGCTGCCAATTCATTTTGTGTCGACTGGCCGATTAATCCACCAATTGTTTCAGTTGCAGCTGGATTTGAATTGTCAATCATAATCCCAAATTGCAATTTGATTGAGTTGCGGTGGTCAATATTTTTAGTTTTCCTTCCCACCGACATAGAGATTACCGCAGTAGGAAACGGTTGCTGGTCGTTTTGATAATAGGATCCTTTGAATAATAACTGGTACAACCTGTCTCATCCTGCCACCCGAGAGAACGTACAGCAGCGTGGATGTCAGTGTCATATCCACGTCTGAATGCAGCTCTTTCTGAACGTGTGTGAGGAAATGAAGCACTTGAAAAATAAGTTCGGAGCTGGAAAGTAGTCTGATTAAAAGATAATGCGGCTTGTGCAAAAGGAGATTCAGTAAAACAAAAAAACACTGGTATGTCTGTGGTCCTTCAACACTCCAGAGCCATGGTATGAACCCACGCTGAGTCAGTGTGCAAACATTTCATTCAGGAGGTCTCTGAGCGGGTGAATACTGAACAGAGAGGCCAACCAGGACAGTGTGAACAATGGCTAAATGACTGTTTGAAGCTGATTCAGTCGGGGGTGAAAGTGTGATGTCCTGGCAGGATTTGGCAGCCTTCAGAAACACTGCATCCGTGTCGTTGTGCACTTGCGTCACAGAGCAATAAAAACCACAAGAAAGCCTGTGATTACCCTGCAGAAAAGCAAGAACACATGTTTATGACGACCAACAAGTCTTTCGGACATTAATCTTCATGATACTGAGCATCACGTGCCTGGCTGGCTCTGTTGCTCTTCTCGTCTGTGTTTTCAATAGCAGCACCTTTCCCCGGTGTTCTTTCCAAGCGCCCAGCGACTACGGTGGCTGACGCAGTTTACCCTAATGGTCCTGGCAGGGTCTCTCTGTCAGGATTAGCCAACGGTGAGAGGGAGCTGTCTCTATCGCTCGAGACTGGCCGCGGTGGGATTTGACCCTCTGTGCCTCAGCCCATTGTCACATGGCAGGTTAAATATCTGACCGCTTGACAGCCAGTGTTCACGGTGGCTTTGTCACTTTCCTTTGCTGGATTTCGGTCGGTCGCAGGAAGTGCAACAGAACTGCAGTGAGATAGAGAAGAAAGCAGAGGAAGGACACGTTTTTTTAATTTGTCTGTAACCCCCTGTGGTCTTTGCAGTTGTGATATGAATTAAGATAACATGACGTGTGACTCATTTCTTTTTCATGTCCAAATTCGATAAAGTTTTGCGGTTGAATGACATCGCTTTGAATAAAACAGAGTTGCTGAAACGTGCAGTGTGGTTCTCGAGATGTGTTGCAGGGTCTGAATTGGGGCCTTCTATCTCTATCACTGCCAACTATTAAGCCACACAACTGTCTTCACCCAGTCCAGCCTCAAATCTTAGCTAAAAAAATATATTTTATAATCTTAATTGGGTTGTACAGATGACATCATGTACACTCAGTCATCGTTTTCTCTTCAAGGAGCTTCTCCTCCACCGTCTCCCCTTAGGGATGTGTTTGTCCTCTCTGCACAGATGTCTGCAGGAGACAACACAAGGACGGGCACATCGTCAGATTCGCAGACGACACAATGCCTCAGCAGTGGGATTCTAGCATGGGCCCATACTGAAGCACCATACAGTCATGCTCAGCAGACTCACCAAAACGTAATATTTACATTCACCAGAGACATGGCAGTTGATTATGGAGGATGCCACACTCTGCGATGGGCATTCCTCGTTGTTTTGTGACATTTTATTTCGGACCGCTCCATTTCTCACCAGTGATGACCGTTGTGCTACTCCGTATCTAAAACCAGTAGGCCAGTCGTTTTTAACACCTGAACCGATTTGAACTGCGTCTGTTGATGCAGCATCCATATCTTTATCGTATCATTGGTGAAGTGCAGGGAGTATGAAACCCGAGACTGCAGCAGTGTCATTGTTTCAGTCGGCTCTCCGCGGTGCAAAGGTGAATACTTGTGCTTTAGCCGGTCCATTAATCTGGCGCAAGGAGCTTGACGCAGGACGGATATCTCTCCTCTCCTGTTGTTTAGCCAGGTGGCAGAGCTAAAGGCCACAAACCACAGTCCTCTGCTGCAGTGACCCTGCTTCACATTCACATAGCTGGAGGGACAAGCTGCCTGCTTTACATTGTTTCCACATATTCTCGACCAGCAAAGGAGATCAGCGCAGGCGTGCAGTGACTGCACCGGGAGAGCCCAGGGAGAAAAACACATTTTTCAGTGGATCTTGACCCCAGTGACCTGTAGTGAGCAAAATAAATCTTCATTTCTAGGCCATTAGATGGTCATTACTCAAACTCCGATATGAACAGCGAGGCATTTAATGGTCCAGCTGAAATAATAAGTAACCTTTTGTCTGTAGAACAAGCATGGCGTGATAGAAAGGTACGGAGAACAGAAATGGAAAGGAGGACGAGAATAGCAGCCCTATTAAAGACTCATTTGTTTTTAAAATAATTTAAAGAGAACAGTATTTACTTTAAAATGAAGGTGAAAAGGGGCTATTTTTAATCACATACCTGCCATTTACACTACAGAGCTGTTAGCTTAATGCATTCAGTCCTATGATTTTTAAAGAATGAAATGCATTCATGTGCATATATTGGAAAAAAATATGCACATTCATCATATACGACATTGTGTAATATTGTATTACATTTTAAATATAAAGTAAAATACTGGCCTATTGACCATATTTGTGAATCACATTGTGTTAAAAAAAGATTGACTTGGCGTGCCCTTGTATCTCACCTGGTAGAGCTGGCACACCGCGTACAGTCCTTGCTGCAGTGGCCACGGGTTCGACTCCGACCTGTGGCACTTTGCTGCGTGTCACCCCTTAACAAATGAAGGTATATATATATATACATATATATAAAAACCTGGAGAGAAAGTAGTTACAGCTACAGATTGTAAAATGACTGATGAGCACCAAGTCTCAGCATCCTGCCCAGGGTCAGCAGCAGGAAGAGGAAAATCGTCAAGGATGCTTTTTGAACTGAAGCTGGAAGAATGGCTTTCCCCCCCCGAAGCTGTTTTTATTTTCTGAAGCTGGGTGTTGTTTTGTGATTTCCTTCCTATTTTTCTCAGGGTGTAAGAACCACGTGAACACCTATCTCCAGATTGCTGGCTCAAAAAGTAGGACGGACTTCTGCTGCGAGTTCTTCTGCTGGAGCACAGGATTTTTTCTAATTCCCCAAAAGCTCCCAACCAGTCTGTAAATGTAGGTGCTGTTGCCCTGGCGTTTTGCTCGCGCTCTGCAACCCTGTAGAAGTAAAGTGATGTCACATGTTATTCTGGTGTTGAAAGTGGAGGCTGAGTGTAGGCTGAAGTGGTTACGCGCACAGACCGCGCTCACAGTG